ATTATTCTTCATTTCTGCTGCTATAGACTTAGACTGCTGGAGCACAAACTGAGCACATTTCCTCACTCTGCTGTTGTCTTTAGTCTCTCTCCTCTAYATGTTTGTTATAATTATGTCCACCAATAATGTGYTTTCTTTGTCTCTCTTCCAGAGGAAAATACACCTGGACCAGTCCTGTGTGTCTCTTTSCTGTCCCCCAAAYCCAGCCGGTAAAATAGCCAGAGGAAAGAGTGATTGTGTGTAGCTGTTTGGTTCCATGTGCTCTTTGATAAACTGGCTGTAGCTCATCCATAACCCCATTTCAGAATAAATGGCAAACAAATATGGGTAAAGGCCACTTTTTAGCAAAATGGCTGCATATGTAATGCAATGTGCACTTTCACCATCCATTTACAGAGTTAGATGTAAAACATGAAAGTGATGTTTGGTTTGAAAAAATTTAGAAAGTCAAAATAAAGCATTTAATCTTTTTCTACAAATCTTCTGCTTTTCCATAAATAAAACTGGCTCTTCAGGGAGTCCTCAATGTAAAAAAAGAAAAAACACACTAAGATCTGACATCTTATGAAAACTTACTTTTGACTGATGCTCTTATCACTTCTGACTTTATTTTCAATCTTATCACTCTTTCAAAATTCAGACATAAGCAGCAAAATATATTTTCTACATTAAAAATGAAGCATGTAAAATGTTTTCTTCTGGATTATTAGTTGGTTCACATGATTACAGTTGAAGCACACTTTCAGCATTTGTTGCTGCAGCTCTCCTGAACAGAAGTCATTGACGAGAGAAAAATTACAGTTCAACAACAGGAAGTGCAGCCAGAATAAGATTTATCTACTAAAAACAAAGTGACTAAATTTTATATGCAAAATTAATGTTTTTTTTGTTCTTTTTCTGCTGTTTGATATGATAGTCTTGAGATGTCTAAATGCTGCTGCCTTCAGAGATACAGCAGGTAAAATAAGTATTGAACACGTCACCATTTTTCTCAGTAAATATATTACTAGAGGTGCTAATGACATGAAATTTTCACC